AAGATTGTATTACTGTACTGTGATAAAAGAGAATCACAATGCTGAAAAAGCATTTTCAGAAACAACGTTTGGATTTGAAATCAAAATAATGGATAAATGTTGTGTTTGTGGTAAACAGCCGCGGATCAGGAGCGGACTGCAAACGCGTCCTGTGCGAAAGCAAAATGCCCCCCACCCCCCAGTAGCAAAATTCAGCCTTGTTATTATACAAACATGTATTTTTATTTATTCTTGTGCTGAACACAAAAGATGATATTTTGAAGAATGTGGGTAACCAAACAGTTGCTGGTCCTCACTGACTTTAATAGTAGGAAAAATAAATATGAAAGTCACTGGGAACCAGCAACTGTTTAGTTTCCCACATTCTTCAAAATAACTTTTTATGTTCAACAGAAGAAAGAAACTCATTCAGGTTTAAAACAACTTGAGAGTGAGTAAATGATGACACAATTTTCATTTTTGGGTGAACTATTCCTTTAATGTTAATAAAATAAAACACAAAGAGAAAAATAACCTGCTCTTGCCTGAAGAACTTTAATACAGTTGCTAAAGTTCAGCAGTAATAAAATAACTTGACATTTTCATCACTTCATATCTTTTTGCACCAAATAGTATCGATAACAGTATCGATAAGTACCGGTTTTATCGATAAAATGTAAACGATACCCATCCCTACTTCAGACTGTGAGACTGCGTACATTAACTGAGAGAAACGTTCATGGATCGAAGGAAGGAGAGCGTTCGTTTTTGCTTTGTAATAAGGGTTCGGCACAAATGCGATTCATTCACTTAGTGAGTGTAACCGTTTTTTACAGCTCCGTGACACAAGCCATCAAAAGGCTTATATAAACGCAGCAGAATAAGCCTAAAAACTTATCAGAGGTGCAACAGCGCGTTCATATTTTGATGCAGAGTGCTGTGTATTTATTTGTGTTTTTAACTCGATGGGAGTGAAATGAAACTGTCTGAACCCGAAGCTTTGTGTGTTGTCCGTCTCCCCTCTTCCCCCTCCGCTCCGCTGCGCGCCACGCCCACATTTTTAACATTTTTTAAAACTGTAGTGAGAACTAACCAGTGCTGAAACAGGGGGTTTCATGACCCTTTAAAGTGGGAAATGACAACAGAATTTCACATATGTGACCCTGCACCACAAAACCAGTCATAAGTAGGGCTGGGTATCGATTCAGATGTCCCGATTCGATTTCGATTCGTAAGCTCTCGATTCGATTCGATTCTCGATTTTTTGATTACATTCAGTGAATATAGTTTTAATACAAATGCTATTGATATTTCAAAAAAATGAACAGTAAACATCAGTTTACAAATGGTGAATTAATAAAAAGAAATTAAGCCACATGCCTGTATTTTAAACCTATACTTTTTTTTGTATGGGTCCTTTTTTAAACAATAATAGGGCCCTATAAAATGTTCTTAATTTTTCTGGTAATCAGATGAAGGCATTTAACATTAATTTAATTTATCCTAATCAAATGAAAAATAAACCCTTTTATCTTTTGGCAAACAAAGTGCTGTACAACAGAGGTTTACTGTTAAAATGAAAAAGAAAACAGATGTGATTATTCCTTTAAAAATAAAGATTTATTAATATTTATTAGCA